TTTTAGTGACTGAACAAGAGCTGCAGCTAAATCATAATGAAGATATGATTTAGCTGCAGCTCTTGTTCAGTCACTAAAAACTGTTATTTTTAATCTTACATTATAAACTAGTATGATTTCTTTCATATATTTTGAATAGGAGAACAGCTTCCTGCAGAGTCAAAGTCAGTGCTAAAGGGCTGCATTCATTAAACAGCAAACCCCATAAGTTCGTTAGCAGTAAAAGCAAATGAATCTACCCACATACCATTAAATGTTCAGTTTTCTTCAGAAACTTTTCTTTTCTTTGGATTTATCCATGGTTGGAGGGGGGGGAAAGCTCAGTAAATCTGCGCTGGTCCCAGGTATAGGTGTGTTTAGTGAGTGATTAGCAGATAAACAGTCAAGTGATATGAATTGTGACAGGTCCCAAGCACAGCTTTTAAGATTCAGATAAAGGAGATTACATTGGGACAAAGAGAATCTTTTCAGCAGCGTTTCGTTTCATGTAACATGAGAGCCTGCAGATCAGCGGCTGTGCTGGCGCGTGTTTTGAGCGACGGAGCCGCAGCAGAGGGGTTCAAGAGCCACGTGCAGCTCTAGAGCCACTGGTTGCTGACCCCTGCCCATGTTAAAGAAAATGGCTACCGTGACAGTTCTTATTTGCTGGACATTTTGTCAAGGAAAAAAAATACAAATTGAGTTAGTGATGTAGCAAGTTTGCTTTAAGAAAATGCATCTAAACATCCAGCAACTGTGTAGGAATACAATAGAATAACATTCTATTCTCTCAGTTCCTGTTAATAATTCCCATTCCACAGTTTTGATGTGTGGCAGTTGTTCCTAATACATCAACTCTTCCCTCTGCAGGCACCTGTGTATGCGGTGAATGCACATGTCATGACGTGGATCCAACTGGTGACTGGGGAGATATTCATGGAGACACTTGTGAGTGCGATGAACGAAATTGCAAGGCACTCTATGACAGATATTCCGATGATTTCTGTTCAGGTAAAGGAAACCTTGGAATGGATTTACTGTAGTTGCATAAACTAGAAACATCAATGTCTGTTCTATTCTCCAGGCAACGGTCTGGTGGCTGCAAATATTTTGCTACTTGAACTGACTTCCTCAAGGGTAATTGGGCTCCAATAGAAACTTGACACCTTTGAGCTGTAACAGCTTCAGACCTAAACCTTCAGTCACGCCAGAACATTGCACACCGTGCACAAAAACACAGGGTAGAACAGCTTTCTCTGACTTGATGGCCTCCAAATGCGTTGGACTGCAACAAGATCAGCTGCCTGAAGCAGCAGAAGTTCCCAAAACAGTTTGGGATCACATTTCATTTTTATTTGCCACCTCGTTATAGTGCAGGTTCAGCACCCATGTTTCAGATGGAAACCATTGGGCTCCAGTGGAAACCAGTGGCACAGAAGTAAGCCATGTCAGGTGGAATCTGGGCATCAGGTTTTTGGCTGACTCGAGCTCAGGGAGGAGGAAGAGTTTGATCACACAGTACATCTCTCTTCTCCAGTAGACCTGGAGCAGTGCGGGGGATACCCTCCTTGAACCCTTTAAGCCCAGCTGCAGTTTTGGACTTTCCTCCTTTCACCCTTAGATCACCAGAGCTCCAGTGGTAAAGAATCTGTTAGGGGGTTCAGAGTGGTCATCAGGGTGCCTGCCTAGAAGTGCCTTTTGCTTAAGGTTATATACATGAGCAAGGATTTACTCATGCAGAAAAAACAGCAGCCGTGGCTCCTGCTGAGGCAGATCCAGCTGCAACTAATGACTCGGGGACAAGCAGCCACTAAACTCTGAGTCTTCCCCAGGCTTTTGGTGCATTAACAATTGATAGAGTTATTTTGTTTCAGTTGCCATATATCCCTGTTTTGAAAGCAGAGGTCTGCTTGCCCAAAGGGTTTTTTTTAGATTATTGATGAATTAAGTTTCTGTAACTCAAATTCTCTGGATGATTTATAATACTTAAAACCCTAAGATATCACATGGTGAAATATAACATAAATCTTTGAAAAGTTCTGAGCTGCTTTTAAAACCAAGTAGAAGCCAACAGCAGTATCAAGACCCACAATATAATACCTGTAAAAGTCGCAGAAACAATACCGATAAATAATAAAGAATAATGCTCAGTGTGTGAAAAGTGCCTATCATTTAAATAAGAAAGCAGAAAGCCAATAAATTCTCAGACTTGTTTGTTTGTTTGTTTGTTTTAAAAGTGGAACTAAAAGTTGCTCCCTAGCTTTCATCACCCATTGCTTGCTTGAGTGGATTGGGCCCGCTGCCGCCTCACCACACCGCCTGCTGCTTTTGCTCTTCTTGCTGGATACTCAGAACTGGGTTTTGCAGGGTGTTGGCAATTTAGGCAAGGAACAGGGATTTGCAAAACGGCTAACCTTGATGCACTGCAGTAGTCCAAGACCTAAATAGCTTCTTAACTTGTAAATATTTTTCTCCAGTTCATTTGCAGCAATACCCTATTTATACCCTGCCTTTTTTTTTTTTACAAGGAACCCAAGGTGATTTATATAATTCTCTTCTCCATTTCATCCTCACAGCAGTCCTGTGAGGTGGTCTAGGGTGAAAGTGAGTGCCTGGCACAAAGGCATCCAGTGAGCTTCAAGACTGAGTGGGGACTAGAACCCAGATCTCCTGAGTCCCAGTCCAGCTCTCTAACCACCACACTGGCTCTTGCCACACACATTTATTATGGGTTGGTAGTGTTCTCTTCCTAGAACATTTTCTGATCCCTCCATTCCTCCTGCTCTAAATGTTACATTTTAAAATACTGGCTTGTGTAAGTGCTATTTTAGTGAAATAGAGTATATGCGGCCAGACAAACTAGAGCTGGACCCTGCTACTATGACTTTACCTCAGGGAGAGAAAACTTTATCTAGAGATTCCTGTTTCTCTAGAAATTTAATTGCATAGTTCTTCGTCTAGCTGAACACTTGTCTTCAAAATAGTTCTTTTGGTTAGTGCATAAGTGAAGGTCTCCCTCCCAACCAATTTCTCAGCAGGAAGGAGTATTCCTCCTAGTAGTAATTACTCTGCTACCCACCACAGATGCTAAGGGAATGATTGAAACCCATCTTTTATAGACAAGCTGTACTGTGTTGTAATTTTCTGTGCAATGGCTTGATGTTCCCTGATTCCCTTCAAAGTAAAACTGTGAAAGTTCTACACACACTTTGTGGGTTCACACGACTCAGCAAGCAATGGGCAAGCTTGGTAGGCGCTGGGTTGGACGTGCTTCTCTGGCTAGTGGAAGCAAGAATGGGGGGCAGAGATGGAATCTACCGAGGTGGGTAGCCTCCATGGGGTGCTGCCTCCCAGGACATCCTTGCCCCTTCTGCTCATAGAACAAGGCCTTGGCCTCCCTCTGGCATGTGTGAAGGAGGGAGGAGATGGTTTCCACAGAGCTGCTCCAGTGATTTCCCCCCACCCCTTTGCCTAGTGTTGATCAGCTATTCTACCCAGCTCCTTGTCCCAGCTCCGGGGGTCTCCTCTGAGCAGGAGGGTGCCTTGTCCTCCCTGCTGCGCTTCAGGGCATGAGCCCCATTTACAAACAGGACCTGCTTGAGAATCATGATGAACAGACAGAGGCACCTCATTCCTCCCTGTGGAGCCTTCTGGAATGTCAACCGCAGGACCCAGAGGGGAGGAGATGACAGCTGAGAGGAGTTGCCAGAAAATGAGCCTGATCATCTGTCAGACATGTCCATGAAAAGAAGCACAAAGCAAGGACCCCCACTCCCAATGTATAAACATGCAAAGGAATGGGGGAAGGAGACTCCTTGGTATCCTGCCTTTCTTCCGTCATGGAACTCAAGCCGGCCTGGGGTTCCCAATGTGTCTCCCATCCAGGTACTGACCCAGACTTGCCAGGCTCTTATGTGTTCTCTCTCCATAGAAGAGATGCTCTGAGACCAAAACACAAATTTTAATGCTTTCCATGTTTCAAGTAGGCCATGACCACAACAGGACACAAGGACAGTTACAGCCATTCTCTCTTGTATTCTAGTCCTATATTTGCAGCGAGTTATCTACATGGACACAGGGACTGCAGGTGGCGCAGTGGTTTAAACTGCTGTGCTGGTTGATTGAAAGGTCACCGGTTCGAATCTGCACAACGGGGTGAGCTCCCGTACTCTGTCCCAGCTCCTGCCAACCTTGCAGTTCGAAAGCATGCAAATGCAAGTAGGTAAAAAGGTACCACTTCGGTGGGTAGGTAACAGCGTTCCATGCACTTCGGTGTTTAGTCATGCTGGCCACATGACCACGGAGACTGTCTGCAGACAAACGCTGGCTCCCTTGGCTAGGAAACAGAGATGAGCACCGCCCCTTAGAGTCAGGCATGACTGGACTTAATGTCAAGGGGAAACCTATACCTTTACCTTTATCTACATGGACAACATTTAAAAAACTATTCTTCCAGCGGCATATATGTGGTTGTCCTATTTCACCATTCTATTTCCATCTGATGCTGCTGTATGTGAAGTTTCACCCTAAGCTGGAGAAAGAGGAAGGAGCCCAAATAAAAGTTGGAGAAATGGACCATATGGGTTTACAGGAAAACTGGGAATGGGGATGGGCTTGCAATAAGGGGGACATGAAAGGGGTGAGCTCAGCAGCAAAGTAACATGGCTGCTAATGGAGATTTAGCTCTCTGAAAGACAGGCATCTCTAGACTTCTGTGGTTTGCCCCAGAATTTTCTGGCCCAGAATTAAATAGTATGTGCTGCTTTTGGAAGAATGCACTACACAGGGATTGCTGAAAGGCCAAAAAGAAATGGAATTCACCCTGAAGTCAAGATTCAAGCTAGCAACTCTGCCTATGACATCCTGCCATGCATGAACAAGCAAGAAATAAAACAATTCAGACCTATCAATGCTTGTTCATACATGACAGTCAAGCACATACATGTTTCCCTTGTTTCAAACAAAATATCTGTAGAACTGCCCACATTTACCCAAAATAGCTTTATCCAAAATAGTTTTGCTCAATATATGTTATGTTCTCCTCAAATGTTGCTGATCTCAGTGTCTTGTTCCTGTACCTTGTACATACATTGGGGATCTAATGTTCATTGATGCATCTGAGCTGCACCATGTGAGATTTCAGGTAGGGGAGAACACTGCTCCTTATGGATAGAAAAGCAAGATGCCAAGGCAAGTGCAATCTGTACACGTGAGCTCCCATTTGTAGTCCGAAGTGATACAGACCCAATGCAGATTTCCCACTTCAATGGAAGTAGGACTAAATCAGACATTACAAAAGTTGTATTACAATGCTGCTGCGACATGGCTTTTCCCTCTGAGCCATGAAAATGGAGAATGTAGATTCCCCACTCAGGATCCTTAGATAGATAAAATCATAGAACAGTAGAGCTGGAAGGGGCCATAGGTCCATTAAGCCCAACCCCCTGCTCAGTGCAGGACTCCAAGTTAAACCACCCCTCTCAGATGGCTGCCTATTTGCATCATGAGTGCCTCTTGTCTGGGAGCGCTCACAACCCCTCTAGGTAATTGGTTCCATTGTTGTACAGTCAGGAATGTTTTCCTGATATATAGCTGTGATCTGGCGACCTGTAACTTGAGCTCATAATTTGGTCTCCTGCATTCCATGATGATCAAGAAGAGATCCTGTACTTCCTCTTTGTGACAGCCTTTCAGGTGCTTGCAGAGTGCTATCATATCTCCCTTCAGTCTTCTCTTCTTGAGGCTAAACACACCCAATCCTTTCAATCTCTCCTCGTGGGGCTTTGTTTCCAGACCTCAGATCATCCTCGTTGCCCTTCTCTGAACCCTTTCCAGCTTGTCTGCACCTTTCTTGAACTGTGGTGCCCAGAACTGGACACAATACTCCAGATAAGGCCTAGCTGGTGCTGAGTAAAGAGGAACTAGTACTTCACATGTTTTGCGAGTGATACTTCTATTATTGCAGCCTAACATAGCACTTGCCCTTTTCACAGCCACATCACATTGTTGACTCATATTCAGCTTGTGATCTACAACAATCCCAGGATCCTTCTCACTTGCAGTATTGTTGAACCAAGTATCCCCATCTTGTTACAATGCATTTAATTTCTTTTTTCTCAGTGCAGAATTTGGCATTGGCCCCAATTGAATTCCTTTCTGCTGTTTTCAGCCCAGCACTCCAATGTATCAAGATCAATTGAATCTTCTTTTTTTTTCTGTTTTCCAGGGTATTAGCTCTCCCACCCAGTTTTGTGTCATCTGCGAATTTGATAAATGTTTCCTCCACTTCCACATCCAAGTCGTTAATGAAAATGTTGAAGAGCACTGGGACCAGGGCTGAACCCTGTTGTACCACACTTGTTACCTCTCCCCAGTTTCAGAAGGTGGTCTTGATGAGCACTCTTTGAATCTGATTCTCTAGCCAACAGTAGATCCACCTGATCATTGTTCTATCTAGCGCACTTTTAGCTATTTTGGCTATAACCATGTTGTGGGGCACTTTGTCAAAGGCTTTGCTAAAGTCTGATAGATCATGTCCACAGCATTCCCACAGTCCATCAGGGAGGTTACTCAAATAAAAAAATAAAATCTGATCAGTCTGGCAGGGTTTGTTCTTGAGAAATCCATGTTGGCTTCTAGTAATCACTGCACTGTTTTCAAAGTATTTGCAGACGGACTGCTTTATATTCTGCTCCAGAATATTCTCAGGAATTGATGTCAGTGGCTGGTCTGTAGTTCCCAGGTTCTTCTTCTTTTCACTTCTTAAAGACAGGGACAACTTTAGCCCTTCTCCCGTCATCTGGCCTTTCCCCCTGACCTCCATGATTTCTCAAAGAGTAGCTTTGAAAGATCTTCCACCAGCTCCTTTTATGACTTTAGGGCAGGGGTCCTAAATCTTTTTAACCAGGGGGTCAGTTGCAAGCTGCTGGTGCTGGGCGTGGGCTGGAAAGGTGGCTCCTGGTGGTGCACACGGGCCGGCAGCAGCGTGTGCAGGGAGCGCGGCAAGGCACGGGCGGGTGCATGCACACAGCAAGGGGAGGCGAGGCACAGGCGGGCACGTGCCGCAAGGCGGGAGCACAAGGCAGTGGCTTACTCACTTGGAGATCATTTTCTCCAAGCAAGCAAACTGCTGCCTCCCATGTGTGGGGCGATGTGGGTGGCGGCAGGTGCACGCATGAATGCGCACGTGGTGGGTCCAAATGGGCATGGCAAGCCGGATCCGGCCCCTGGGCCGTAGTTTGAGGAGCCATGCTTTAGGGTGTTGATTTGGCCTGGAGATTTGAACTCATTCAACCCAATTGGATGATCTTTGACCATCCTCGACCTTGATCATCTTCAGCTACCGTCCAGTTCCTTCAGCCTGAACTTCCCTTTTGTCAGCAAGGTCATAGATCTTCTTTTGGAAGAAGACTGAGCCAAAGTAGGAATTTGGTATTTCTGACTTTTCTTTGTCAATCTGTTATCATTTTGCCACCCACACTGAGTAGCTGAACCTCCATTTCTTTCCTCTGTCTTATACTTTGGACATATCTGAAGAAGGCTTTTTTGTTGCTTTCAGCATTCCCTGCTTGCCTCCTCTCATTTCTTGAGTTTAACCTTCCTGACGACATCCCTGCACTTCCATGCCACCTGCCTGTATTCTTCCTTTGTAGCCTGGCCCCTTACTATATATGTCCTTTTTGTTTTCAAATCATCTGTAAGCTTTTTGTGAAACCACATGGGATTCTTCTGAAAATTCTTCTTAGAATTTGCTTTTTAAAAAAATTCCCCACCCATCTTGGGCACCTTTTCTCATCAAACTCACTTGCCATGGGACTTGACTTATCATCATTTATTAGAATTGACTTTCTTGAAATCCAGGGTATGTATTTGGCTACATGTGGTTTTTGCTTCCTTCACAATCAAGGATTCAAGTATGGCATGGTCACTTCCCTCCAGAATTCCCATAGCTGCCACTTTGTCCACTAGGTCTTTTCTGTTGGTTAATATCAATTCAAATATAGCTGTTCCTCTTCTTCTTTCCTCCACTTCCTGTTGGAGGAAATTATCAGCAACATGTGTTAGGAATGGCTTGAAGGGGCCTTATTTGGCAGAATTTGTCTCGCAACAGATAGCGGGGAAATTGAAGTCCCCCATAACAATACCTCCTCGAAACATTGGCAATTTGCTTTTCAAAAATTTCATCTTCGTCTTCTCCTTGACTGGGTTTTTGGTAATAGACTCCAACCACTGTGTTCCTTTTATTCCTTGCTCAATTTATATTAATTCATACGCTCTTGGTAGGCATGTCATGAGCTGAGCTGAGCTGGCTGGGTCCGGGGGTCCGGGAGACCTCTTCTGACTTGCTCTGTTTCTATGTTTGCCTTTCCCTTCATGTTTCTTCCCATGCTCTTCCTGGAATGCAAGACTGCTTCTCAAACTTCAATGGGATAGATGTTGCAAGTATAAATTTAATTAAATTTATTTATTTATTTTATTACAATTTATTCTGGCTACATTTCAGGCAGGAGACCTCCAAAGGCTATGTACAACATAATAAACCTCACATGATAAAACTGATACAATTATAAAAGTAGCAACAGCAGCTGATGTTCTAAAAGACCCCAAATATCAACATAAAAATTAAAAAATCCATAATGCACAGCTGTAGTAACAGTCCCATCTGATAAAACACAACTGGGGGAAGGCCAGAGAAAAGTAGTAAGTTTTAGGCAGCTTCCCAAAATCCTAATACCTGCCCTATACGGGATTGTGCCGCCACTATGACCATTTGAGTGGAAGATGCAAATGTTGTCAGAGGCAAACGGGTAACCAGCAGCAATACCATCACTCTGAAGCAGGCCTGAGATGTTGTCAGACTGAGCATGAACTATGCCTTTTCATTCTGCCGTCAAGGTCATGGACAGTGTAACTGTGGAACATGTGCCTGTAAAGCAGGATGGACGGGAAAGAAGTGTGAACATCCACTCTCTTGCCCTATGACAGCAGAAGAGAGTGCTAGAAAATGCCAAGGAAGCGCACCGTTACCTTGCTCCGGAAGAGGTAGGTGGCTCATTTTGATTTTTTAAGGTGATCACCATTCACTTGCACTATAGGCAATTGTACTTTCACCAAGCATGAAAAACAATGGACAAAACAATGGATTGAATTTAAGATCCGTTTCTAGGACAGCTGGATGTTCAGTTCACATTAACTGGGGAACAGAGGACACAGACTGATGAGGTATGAATTTGTGGGATGTGTCTGTACCGTGAGCACTTGTGCAGGGTCAGGTTGGGACTCATATGGCTTGTGGATGTCAAGGCTGTGGGATAAGCCAAGCCTGAAAGATTATCCTTGTGAAAGTGCCTAGAATTTCTCCCTGATTTGGTCTATCCTTCCTGTGGTTGTCCTAATTTATGAATATATCTAATCTGCTGGTGCTTTTGCATAGGGAGGGAGTGAGTTTATTTTGAAATCTACAAATATTTCATTTTTTGCATTCATAATTTCTAACAGCGGTGCATCTGTGGTTGATGGGGGTGTTGCCTTCTGTGGTTCACAGCTCCACCTTCCCTACAAAGCCCACACTGCAGAGCACAATGTTTTGAGTGATATATATATTTATGTGGCAAACACTCACAACTTTTTTTCTGGTTCTTTTTAGTAGTGTTTGCTGATTTAAGATGGCTAGGCCTTTGCCCAGGTTAAGTTGCAAACTTCAGTCATTTTTTCTCAACTGCTCTGAAAACCTCTTCAGGTCTTTTCTGGTTCAAAAACAAACAACCTCCCCCCACCCCCCAAAGCAGGGAGGGAAATGGCAGGGGAGGGGGGGAAAATCAAAATTCAGTGATGTTTTTCATTAAAATCACTGGGTTTTCATTGGACTTATTCTAGAAATCTGGTTTGGGGGTTTATAAAAATGCTGTTCATGATGGAATTATGGAATTCCTCCTACAGCCTTTGCACATGACTCACATTCTTACAGAAATTGCGCATTTTGGGGTTTATTATTTTCCCATTGTTCAAATGTGTGTGTGTGTGTGAATGATACAGCCTTCATTTTTGTTCATTTGACTAAGCAAACTGAGGAGATATTTTCTTTAAAATCAAGTTAAGAAGAAAATGGGCTTCCAAATATTTGGATGTACGCTTTTGTATCTCAGATGGGAAGGAAGAGATGTATGGGCAAGACTTTTGAAGGAATTAGCAGTGAAAGTTATGTTTGTCCTACTCAGGCATTTGCACAGGATGAGGCTACTGTCTTGAATCGTTGCATCTGACTTTATGTGTCATTTAATTTGTAATGGGCTCTTTCACTAATATCTTCTACTATAATCAGAAGTCAAACAAAGGTTATAGACTGTTTGCCAATTTTAGCTCTCTGCCACATCTGACATTTGCTTGTATATTCCTTGCCTCCAGCCACATGTCTCCTGCAGGAACTATAAATTAGTAACTGGTTTTCACCAGCTTTGATGTTTTTGCAGAACAGATTCCTTGTATCACGGTCAGAATCCTTGTTATCTGTTCTGTGGTTACCGTTGAATCACTCTGTTTATGCCTGCAATGAGATCACTGTTGATTGAATCCCGTCATCCATGAAGCTAGCTGGCACTTCTTGGAGGGTGGGGGAGAGAGACAGAGAGAACCTGCAAGAATAATTTTCTGTCTCTTGTCTTTTTGTGCTTATGGAAACAATACAACAATTCTTCACATATCTCATTCAGAGTCGAAGAAGATTGGTTTCTTGCAGGCACTGTGCACAACAGGGCGGGGCTATAGGTCTGACCATATTAGCAGTACCTAGCAAGCCATGATAGGCAAGGATCAATACAATATAATACAATAGCCATGATAGGCAAGGATCAAAATTGGATCAAGGATCCAATTTTGTGATTTGGGAATTACATGCAACCACTCCCCCGTGGCTCCACGGTAAGAATATGAAGAAGGGGCAGGTGAGAAGAATCGTGCTAATAAGAGAAGCCAGGCCAGCAAACAATGGCAGCCTGGTTTCTAATTTGTGAACTTCACCATTCCTGTAGTTTCTTACATTCCAGGATAGATGGCAGACAGCCCTGTTAGCACAGCAGCCTTACTGGTCCCATAATTTGAGAAAGAGGCTATAATGTAAGAATGAAAGGACAAGGAAAGGAAACACTCAATAAACCATGCTGATCTCAGTTTTATTTTTATTGTGCTGGATTCAGACTTAGAGTAAAGCCATTGGAATTTAGGCAACAAGTTAGTCAGGTCTAACTTAAATCAATTGATTGGATTACCCTAAATCTACCCTAAGTAGCCATATGATATATATAGCCTTTTGATAACAGAGCAGAGAATGTGCAAGCCTTAAAAGCCGTCCTGTTGTAAGCCGTCCTAGCAAGTTTAAGAAGGATGGGATAGAAATATTGTAAATAAATAAAAACTGTAAATAAGTAAATAAAAGTAATCCCAGATTATTTTCAAAATATTTGTGCTGGGTAAATAAGTCTAAAATCAAGAATTATATGTTTCCTCATAGAAAATCCTTGATTTTGCCAAAATTAGGTCATGATGAGTAAAATAAGAGAAGGCAATGGATGCTGTACATACTGCATCATTCTGGCTTCTTACTCCCGGCTGAGCAGATCAGAGGAAACTGCCACAGCTGGTCTAGGGCTCCTGGGAAAAAAGCAGCCAAGCAACCAGGGAGCAAACTAACAGGGAGAGCAACCAGGAGTTTGGCAACAGAGTTGTAGTGGAAGAGAAGACAGAGGGAGGCAGAAGCAGAGGCAAGTGGTGAGAGGCCTGCACTAACCCAGCAAACAGTCATGAGGCGGTGTGCTCTGAGGGTTGCAGCTGAAGTGGGCATGGTCAGAGAGCTGCAATTGAAAGGGAGTAGCCTCCCCGAGGCTTTGTTGTGATGGGGGCGGCATAGAAATGTTTTAAATAAATAAAAAAATAAAATAGCCTGATTACTAGCAGGAAGAGATGGATGAGAAACCTACTGTGAAGGAACTACACAACATACTGAGTAACTCTGAAAAAGAGAGAAAAGGTCAATTACGTAAGGAAAAAGATACCAAAGTTTGCAACAACAACAGGAGAAGAGTGATCATTGCTGGAGATTCACTCTTGTGTAAGATGGAAAAACATGTATGTCAGGAAGACCCATGGAATTGCCAGGGGTGCTGTCTTCCTGGAGCAAAGATCAATGGTAAAACTAACAGATTACCAAAGCTCATACAAATTACTGATACACAACCCACTGGCGCACATCCCTTCCATTCTCATACATGTGGGAACCAACAATACGGCCAACAGGAGTGTTGAGGAAATGACATCAAACTTCAAAACCTTAGGGAAAAAATTAACATTGGGGCCCAGATTATGTACTGCAACAGTGAAAGAAACTCTAGCTGGCCTAACACTAGTCTTCCAGAAAATGTTGGAAAGAAGCCAAGGAATAATTCACGTGACCTTAGAAGTCTATACACCAATGCCCAAACTATGGGAAACAAACAACATGAACTTGAACTTTTAGTACATTAGGGCAAATATGACCTGATATGCAGAACTGAATCTTGATGGGATGACTTCCATTAATAGAATTTAAAAATTGCAGGATATAAGCTGTTAAAAATTGAGGTAACAGAACAGGAGGAGGAGCTGCACTTTATGTTAAAGTTACATATCTCTGCAAAGAAATACAGGAAGAAGAGAACTAATCACACTGAGTGTATCTGGATTAGTGTTTGAAGGAAGCATGATGTTGTCATTATGGGGGACTTCAATTTCCCTGATATCTGTTGGAAGGCAAACTCTGCCAAACATGCCCCATCTAAGAGATTCCTAACATGTCTCTGATAACTTCCTTCAGCAGAAAGTAGAAGTAGGAATGAGAAATACGGCTTTACTCAACCTGATACTAACTAAACAGGGAAGACATAGTGGACAAAGTAACAGCTATGAGAACTCTGGGGAAAGTGAACATGCCTAACTTGAATTCTCAATAATAAAGGAAAGTAAAACTAAATATAGCCGAACATGCAACCTTGTTTTTTATAAAGCCAACTTTAACAAATTCAGGGCAATGATAAACAAAGTCCCCTGGCAAGTCACTCTAAAGGAAAAAAGTTGCTCAAGAAGGCTGGGATATCTTTAAAAAAAGAAATGTTTAAAGCATGACTACAAACAATTCCAACAAGGCAAAAGAGTGGTAGACAACAGAGGAAACCCATATGGCTTTTGTTGTTGTTGTTAGTCGCAAAGTCGTGTCCGACCCATCGCGACCCCATGGACAACATTCCTCCAGGCCTTCCTGTCCTCCACCATCCCCTGGAGTCCACTCAAGCTCATACCAACTGCTTCAGTGACTCCGTCTAACCACCTCATTCTCTGCCGTCCCCTTCCTCTTTTGCCATCTATTGTTCCCAGCATTAGGCTCTTCTCCAGGGAGTCCTTCCTTCTCATTAGGAACAATAGATGGCCAAAGTGGCCAAAGTATTTGAGTTTCATCTTCAGTATCTGGCCTTCTAAAGAGCAGTCAGGGTTGATCTCCTCTGATCACCTTGCTGTCCAAGGGACTTGCAGGAGTCCCCACCAGCACCACAATTCAAAGGCCTCAATCCTTTTGCGCTCAGCCTTCCTTATGGTCCAGCTTTCACAGCCATACATTGCAACTGGGAAAACCATAGCCTTGACTATATGCACTTTTGTTGGCAGGGTGATATCTCTGCTTTTTAGTATGCTGTCTAGATTTGCCATAGCTTTCCTCCCCAGGAGCAAGCGTCTTTTAATTTCCTGGCTGCAGTCTCCATCTGCAGTGATCTTGGAGCCCAGGAAAATAAAATCTGTCACTACCTCCATTTCTTCCTCATCTATTTGCCAGGAAGTGAGAGGACCAGATGCCATGATCTGAGTTTTCTTAATGTTGAGTTTCAAGCCAACTTTTGCACTCTCCTCCTTCACCCGCATCAAGACGCTCTTTAGTTCCTCTTCACTTTCTGCCATGAGAGTGGTATCATCTGCATATCTGAGGTTGTTGATACTTCTCCCAGCAATCTTAATTCCACTGG